AGTTTACCTTCGGAGTCTCTTAACGAGTAATCTGTAATAGTATTTCGCTCAACAAATTTTTCTCGTAGATAATAGGGACTAAGGCCATTGAGCGATTTATAGACCATGGTGGCCCTATGGTTTGACGTTGGGAATCAAGTTTTTTCCACCCTATAGTCAGTATCGATAAGTAAATCAGCATTTACATCGAAGCTTGAGTAAGTTATTACTCCTTCTTCAATCGTGTTGTAAAGCTTTGGAATAATCTACCACTTGAAATACGCAAATCATCTTCCATCAGTGCGTTTAAATCTCGTTTATATAAACATTATTTTATAAAGTTACGGAACGTTTTTGATACGGACAGATTAAGTACGCGGAAGACAATATGTCCTTCTTGTAGGTCTATTGCCAGCCCTTCCTGTTGTTAGTTAATAAGCAGCGAAGATGTGTTACTGAGGAGAATGCTACACTGTACCATCCTGGTCTCTTCCTCAGAATGACTGTACAATATGCATCCTTATCTTAAAACCTTAATTAGGATTAGTACTACAGTGCATGGGTTAAGATTATTAAACCAGAATTAGGGTTAGTACTATAGCGCATGGGTTAAGATTATTTTCCGAAATAATTTCCATTAAATTAATTCAGTGTTTCAAGTGGCCGTTGGTAGGTGCAGTCAACCTGAGCGAGTGACTGGGCTGTCTGTTCAGTGGTATTAGAGAACTTTTATTGAAGTTTTGTGTTTTCTTAATAGTGTAAATTTCTAGTTATAATTTATGTGCGGGGTTTGCCTTGTTGGGACTCCAAGTCCGTTCGCCGATCCCATATCTAACTCGCCTTTGTTGTAATGTCTTGCTTCGTTCTCATTTAGCATTGTAAATTTCGCGAGTTCGATTAAAGCTTCTTATTATTATTATACGAGCAGCACGATTTTGGAGTTTCTGAAGTTTGGTGGAAAGTTTACAGTTTACACTAACTATCAACGTGCCTGTGATCACATTAGGAATTTTGCATTGGTAAATTCTACGGTTTGAATTAACGTTTTGTAAGAAATGTTTGCCGAGGGAACTGAGTGACTCATCGTTTTAAACTGAATCAGTTTCATCGAGTGTAACTAACCAGCCCAGCTTTTACAGATGTACCATAGACGTGGTTTTCGTATACGGATGAACAAACCCTAATCGTAATTTAAGGCTCTACATGCAGCTTCAAACTTATTGCCTGATCTTTCTCAAATGTATATATTCAGTGTTCGTGTATTCCACTTGTGGTTTTGGTCGGAAATACCTAGTGAACTATCGACGTTTGAAAGCACTTCAGCTGGTCATCAATAATCTCTTGACTCGCAAGAACTTTGCTTCACTAAACTCCATGATTGAGTATTTTCTTTACCTTTTCAAGTAGTTCAGGCCCAAAGCACAACATATTACGTGAACAATTAGAGCCTTTAAGCATTGGTAAAGTGTCCTTGAAATACCATTGCTTTACTGCAAAGCCTTTGGTCGAAACGACAGCAAACGTTTTCGTTGTAGATCATAGGATTGCAAAATAATCATAACAAAAGCGAAACATAGGTAAAATATATAACTAACCGTTTCTTTTTCATCTTTTAGCGAACCTTTCGGCGGAGAATCCTTGATTTTTTTTATTCTTCATTCGTCGAGAAGAAACAGTTTGTTTCTGCTTGATAAAACAGAGTTCTAATTCCTCGGCGCTCCAAGAGTCGAAAGGAATGCACACAATCTTGTTATTGATCACAAAGGACTCTGTTTTAGATTTGAGGTATAACAATGGGCAATATTTTTGTTCTTTTGAAATAAATAGATACGGTTGACCTATTTCAAAACGCATCTATGTTTGTAGAGGATATAGAAAAAGCTTTTTACCTTCGTTTTCGAAAGTGTGTCCACATAATTTCATAATCATTGTTTTATCAATGCGGCTTTTGTCTATTTAATTGGAAAGGTGCCATAAATCTGTGACATATATAGAAAGGGTATACGCTTCGAGAAATACAAGTAAGATTGCCTTACTATTGCGGTGTTTAGAGAAATTCGCTCAAGGAGAAAAAAATGAGTAAAAATCAAAATAAATTGGAGAGACCTGAGGATAATGATGAAATTGCGAAAGTGATGAATGGTTATTTTTAGGGCGTGGTTCCTTGCATAGCCCATGATGCATTGCAAGCATACAGCATGTGATTTTTTTACTGGCAATTTCTATGTCATGTGTTTTAGTCATGGGTATATATAGCTGACCTTGTTATGGGACTTTTAGACTAATTATTTGTGATCTGACGACAGGAATTTATGGTTCTAGGCAAATTTTTTCACTGCGTGAGAGTCTGCCAAATCTGATGCTTTTTTAAATGTATGTGTGTGGCCAACTATGGACCAACGGATAAGCTTAACTCCGTCTACGATGCAAAGTATGTAGAAATGGTCAAAAATAACCATGGTTAAGTGTATTTCATAAATGCAGTGATGAGTGGTCCAAAATTGATCCAGTGTTACTACAGGAGGAAACCTAAACTAAACTAACTTTATTTATACTGGATAGTTCTATCAGTTCTAACCTGTTATTCCTAGAGGTCCAGTAATAAGAGTCATCTCTTATTGATCCATTGTTACTTCAGGAGGAAACCTAAACTAAACTAACTTTATTTATACTGGATAGTTCTATCAGTTCTAAACTGTTCTTCCTAGAGGTCCAGTAAGGATCATCTCTTATTGATCCAGTGTTACTACAGGAGGAAAACTAAACTAAACTAACTTTATTTATACTGGATAGTTCTATCAGTTCTAACCTGTTATTCCTAGAGGTCCAGTAATAAGAGTCATCTCTTATTGATCCATTGTTACTACAGGAGGAAACCTAAACTAAACTAACTTATTTATACTGGATAGTTCTATCAGTTCTAAACTGTTATTCCTAGAGGTCCAGTGATTCAGTGTTACTACAGGAGGAAATCTAAACTAAACTAACTTTCCTTATACTGGATAGTTCTATCAGTTCCAAACTGTTCTCCCTAGAGGTTCAGTAAGGATCATCTCTTTTTGATCCAGTGTTACTACAGGAGGAAACCTAAACTAAACAAACTTTATTTATACTGGATAGTTCTATCAGTTCTAACCTGTTTTTCCTAGAGATCCAGTGATTCAGTGTTACTACAGGAGGAAATCTAAAAATTAAACTAACTTTCCTTATACTGGATAGTTCTATCAGTTCTAAACTGTTCTTCCTAGAGGTCCAGTAAGGATCATTTCTTATTGATCCAGTGTTACTGCAGGAGGAAAACTAAAATAAACTAACTTTATTTATACTGGATAGTTCTATCAGTTCTAACCTGTTATTCCTAGAGGTCCAGTAATAAGAGTCATCTCTTATTGATCCGTTGTTACTACAGGAGGAAACCTAAACTAAACTAACTTATTTATACTGGATAGTTCTATCAGTTCTAAACTGTTATTCCTAGAGGTCCAGTGATTCAGTGTTACTACAGGAGGAAATCTAAACTAAACTAACTTTCCTTATACTGGATAGTTCTATCAGTTCCAAACTGTTCTCCCTAGAGGTTCAGTAAGGATCATCTCTTTTTGATCCAGTGTTACTACAGGAGGAAACCTAAACTAAACAAACTTTATTTATACTGGATAGTTCTATCAGTTCTAACCTGTTTTTCCTAGAGATCCAGTGATTCAGTGTTACTACAGGAGGAAATCTAAAAATTAAACTAACTTTCCTTATACTGGATAGTTCTATCAGTTCTAAACTGTTCTTCCTAGAGGTCCAGTAAGGATCATTTCTTATTGATCCAGTGTTACTGCAGGAGGAAAACTAAAATAAACTAACTTTATTTATACTGGATAGTTCTATCAGTTCTAACCTGTTATTCCTAGAGGTCCAGTAATAAGAGTCATCTCTTATTGATCCGTTGTTACTACAGGAGGAAACCTAAACTAAACTAACTTATTTATACTGGATAGTTCGATCAGTTCTAAACTGTTATTCCTAGAGGTCCAGTGATTCAGTGTTACTACAGGAGGAAATCTAAACTAAACTAACTTTCCTTATACTGGATAGTTCTATCAGTTCCAAACTATTCTCCCTAGAGGTTCAGTAAGGATCATCTCTTTTTGATCCAGTGTTACTACAGGAGGAAACCTAAACTAAACAAACTTTATTTATACTGGATAGTTCTATCAGTTCTAAACTGTTCTTCCTAGAGGTCCAGTAAGGATCATCTCTTATTGATCCAGTGTTACTACAGGAGGAAAACTAAACTAAACTAACTTTATTTATACTGGATAGTTCTATCAGTTCTAACCTGTTATTCCTAGAGGTCCAGTAATAAGAGTCATCTCTTATTGATCCATTGTTACTACAGGAGGAAACCTAAACTAAACTAACTTATTTATACTGGATAGTTCTATCAGTTCCAAACTGTTCTCCCTAGAGGTCCAATAAGGATCATCTCTTTTTGATCCAGTGTTACTACAGGAGGAAACCTAAACTAAACAAACTTTATTTATACTGGATAGTTCTATCAGTTCTAACCTGTTTTTCCTAGAGATCCAGTGATTCAGTGTTACTACAGGAGGAAATCTAAAAACTAAACTAACTTTCCTTATACTGGATAGTTCTATCAGTTCTAAACTGTTCTTCCTAGAGGTCCAGTAAGGATCATCTCTTATTGATTCAGTGTTACTACAAGAGGAAATCTAAACTAAACTAACTTTCCTTATACTGGATGGTTCTATCAGTTCTAAACTGTTCTCCCTAGAGGTTCAGTAAGAATCATCTCTTATTGATCCAGTGTTACTACAGGAGGAAACCTAAACTAAACTAACTTTATTTATACTGGATAGTTCTACCAGTTCTAACCTGTTTTTCCTAGAGATCCAGTAAGGATCATCTCTTGTTGATTCAGTGTTACTACAGGAGGAAACCTAAACTAAACTAACTATATTTATACTGAATAGCTCTATCAGTTCTAAACTGTTCTTCCTAGAGGTCCAGTAAGGATAATCTCTTATTGATCCAGTGTTACTACAGGAGGAAACCTAAACTAAACTAACTTTACTTATACTGGATACCTCTATCAGTTCTAAACTGTTCTTCCAAGAGGCCCAGTCTTATTGATCCAGTGTTACTACAGGAGCAAACTTAGACTAAACTAAATTTATTTACAACAAGATTCACAAAACGTTGTGCTTAAATTTCCTTTGTAGACCACAATGCATTCTGATTTGAATACGTCGTCGTTTTTGTTGAAAAGGTCCATATCGAATAGCTTGCTCCATCCAGTTTATACCGTTACTGTACGATCAGTGAAATCGTCATTCTTCAAAGGAAAATTCAAGGATAAGAAATGAAGTAAGGAAATTTCGCTGAATTTTAAAAACTTTCTCAGTGTCTCGCTCAAAAGAACGAGTTATCATGGGCTTAGTTTGATTGAAATTTCAACAGCAAACTATTTATTCGTCATAAAATACAAGACTACAAGAAATAATAAAGAGAAACGTTGTTTTGTTGACACGGAATCGCCACAATATTTGACAAGGAAATTTGCTATTATGGAACTGAACAATCCTCATTAGATATTCAACATGGCGAACGGTGGTGCTTTTTTGGCTTTTGTTGCTGTTGTTGCTGCGATCGGCTTTAATTTCTCTTTGCATAAAATTGAAGAAGGTAGGAAGATGAAATTAGGAGTATACAGTTTACGATGTGATGGTTTTGTAGGCGATTCTCGCATTGGTTTGTCGGTATTTGCTTGTACAAAGTACGACTAGTTGTACAGTTGTACTTTCATATATAAAATCTATGATGGTGGCGAATTTCAGAAATGATGGTTCTTATAGGCGCAGCAAGCAAGCAAGTTAAGCTACGTCTCGTGATTCTATTGATTTGCTGCCAAATGCTAGATCACTACATAAAATGAGAAAAATTGCAATATCTTCCCATTCTGTTATAAACTGCAGTTGTCGACCATGTGCTGAACAATATATTTGCTTTATAGCGAAAGCCATCTGAAGTTAATTTGCAAGTTATATACAGCATGCATGCCAATGCTGTACGTTTGAAAACAACTACATCATACTTGTAATTATAAAATTAAAAAGTCAATCTACTGGGCGTAACCTTTTGGGTGTGGTTATATTCTCCAATCCAATGAGTTCGCGTTATCGATTTTTTATCTTCTTATTTGGCACAAATGGACCGTACATTTGCTGCTTTTCGAATAGGGATTAGCAGAACTTCTACTGTTAGCGTGTGTCGATTTCTTGAAACGGTTTAATTGATTTGTGAGCTCACAAGAAAATACTCAGAATGCTTTAGTTAAAAATCATGGTTAAATATGTAAACATGTTGAGGTTGTCGTACAGCCATATTTTCAAATATACTGTACTTTAACAAGCAAAGTTACTGTAATGTGCTACAGCAACTGTCCAGTCACGTATACGTGATAAAAAGCCGATATAAACTTTATAAACAAAAGATAATGTGAAACGTAACAGAACGGCGAACATGCAGATTCGGCCATCTCAAATAATGGTAATGTTGGGATAGTAGCGTTGCAGACTGCAGAGGAGAGTGGGCAGTAAGGCTCCCTCATGCACCACCCCATGGAAAACCTGCACCCCTCCTTGCAGATAAGGCTAGATCTGCCCCTGTTTTTAACTGCTACTTGCAAATCAATCATCGCTTTGCGTCTCATTTGTGATTTTTTGTTTTGTTAATCTTAGGTCACATTGGAGTTTACTATAGGGTAAGTAGTGTGTTTCATTTTATTTAAATTAATATTTCATCCAGGGAACATCCAGTTTAGCTAAGGCTAGTTTAAATAGAGTCTTGTAAATTTAAATTAGTTATACAAAAATATTATACTGTATTAACCCATTGAGCCTCAATGCGCCCCAGTGTGCCCTATTTTTTTTTACTTGTCTAACGCCAGACGATTTTACTTGTCAATGGGGAAGCTCTGCAGCTTAATTGGTTAACCAAAAAATCTGACAATGTCTCTAGTTAATTAACCCATTGAGTCGCAATGCGCCCTACTTATTTTTTTCTACTTGTCTAATGCCAGACGACTTTACTCGTCAATGGGGAAGCTCTGCAGCTTAATGTGTTAATTACAAGTGAATACATATCGTACTATGCCTATGTATGTGCTTAATATTGTATATTTTGTCAACTTTCTATGTATATATACATAGAAAGTTGACAAAATATACAATATTAAGCGCATACATAGGCATAGTACGATATGACATATAAATGATGCATAGACTTTATTATGATCGATAATGCACAGCTAGGGCTCGAAATAGCAGGCCATATTTTAGAAAAGGCAGGCAAAAACAAATTTGAACTGCCAAGTAAAAAAAAATGGCAGGTGAAATTCTACAGATATATTTCATTAATTTGCTTACCACAACTCATATATACTAGATCATTTAGTTGACTAAATACGTTTATATTTGAAGTGTAAATCCAAGTTTACTGCAGTAAAATAAACAAGTTTAAAAATAATAAAAATGCATATCATGAAAACGTTGACTTTTACAACATGACTCGTATGAGACATCGCCATTGTGGCAGTTCAATGAATAAAAATGCATGCCAAAAAAATTTAGACTGCCAAAAAATTTTAGACTGACAGGCCATATTTTTCTCTACTTTGAGCAGTAAAGTAACCTCTTCCTATTAAAGGTAACATTCTTCCTAGTTCCTATTATGTTTGTGATGTTACTCTGAGTGTATATCCACACCGGTGTCCCAGTTGATTTGGACCCCCGTAGATTTGGACCCCCGTAGATTTGGACCCCCGGTCCATATCCACTAGTAGATATGGACCCCCCGGGGGTCCAAATCTACTAGTAAATACGGACCCCCGTTGGCGGATTTGGACCCCCTTCAAAAGTTAAATATATGTAATGTGAACACAATAATATAAACCAAATTAATAATAGCGATCAATCTGAAGTATTTTATCATAGGAAAATAGA